TAGTTTTGATCCTCCTGCTTCTGTAACTGTCCTGTGCCTGTTTCTAGACTTAGAGTGAGTGGGATTGTTTGCACACTCCTGGTGTGTGTTTGCCATTTTTCATGAATAAGTCTCAAAACCTAATCAGAAATGGTGTTTCAACCTGCACTTTATCCCTAGTTATTCCCTGCATTTCTTCCAATAATGTCTGTTTTTTGAATCTGTTGCAGTCTGAGCTGAATCTGAGCTGCAGCGGATTGTTGAAAAGTAGATGGTAATGCATGCAGAGCTAATAGTGTTTTAAACAGTAAATGGAATTTCCAGTGTATGCAAGTGTAAAAATAAGGTTTATTTATAGGTATTTTGTCTTATGACAATACTGTATAGCCAAAGTGAGTTCTGTCTTCACTAAAACATGCCTTTGGAAGTGTTGATATTAGAGAAAAGGTTCTGCAACTATTGGAGATGTAACAGTGTGATTTGTGATGCATAGCGTAATACTGGAACAGTCCTCATAAACCAGCTATTATAACTTAGAGTCTTTTCTCTAGTTTTGTGCTAGAAGAACTTTTGAACTGGAGCAACTTTCCGACAGACATTGTTTACTTGAGGAATTTTCATTTTATGTGTTTACACAATAGTAGTTAATAGCCATTTTGTAAAGTTCTTTGACTTTCTGCACATTCTGTAAGGATCACTTTGGCTGGACTACAACAAAGATAGATGGAATCCTTTTGCCTGTGATGAAACAGCTGAATGTGCAGCAGGTAAAGTATAAAACCTATAGTTTAAGGGCAACTGGAAAATTGTGAGAAGCATTTTAAAATTAAGAGCAAGGATTTAAACTAAAATATGTTTCTCGAAAACTGGGTTTTGGTCGTATGTTTTATAATCTTTATGTATATATATTTAAATCATTAAACGTACTTCTCCAGACTTCATTTTTTTATGATTTGAGTGTGCTGGGAGGGACTCTACATAATTTCAATTGTTGGTCTCAAATTCTATTATCTATCAAGCAGCTATCTCAAATCGAGGTTGCTGTTTCTTCTGGATGTAGTTGACGCTACAGGTACCTCAAGCAAATTTAGTAATTTTAAAAGACAATGTGCTGTCTCTAAAAAGTGTTTATAAAAATGCCCCTAAGGTTTTGGTGAAGTGATACTGCCCATTTGATGCCATACATATCCTTTGAGGAGGAGTACAGGCTGAAGTGTTGAGCAACTGCCCATTAATAATATTATTCTAATTTCCAAATAAATGTTCTGTCAACTTTGATAAAAGCTGAAAAGGAATAGTGATGCATACTGTGAAAACTGTCAAAGTCAGTTGTGAAATTGATCACCCAATCTCAGGCTGTTTTCTCCTTTTGTCATATACAAGGTAGATATGTTGTCTAAACCAGTGTTCTAGGTTCTCTGTATCACTCAAAGGATTGAAAGGTACCAACCCCCATGGTTAAATAGTTATACTTTCAGGTCGACTGGAGCATCCTTTGGAAGCGTCTGTTTCTCTTTGACAATTTTAGGGAAAATATAGAGGACTAGCTTAGTCTCTACAATAAGTCTACCTGTGGTTGAATAGCACAGATCCATCCTGTATGACTACTTCTAGTTCTACTCTTCGGAATTATACTGTAGCAGCATGTGGTACAACGAACTTGAGTCAAATGACTGTGTGTTGCACTTGCAGGCACAAATGTGAAGTGCACTTACAACATTTACTTAGTAAACATTCTGCTGTTTTAACAGCTTGAAGCCAAGGATGTGTTTGTAAGGACATCCTTAAGAGCACTACAGAGGTTCTCTGTATTAGGGTTGAAAATAGCAACATATGTCTAATCATCAGCAGCACAATGTTTATGAATTTCACTGGAGGTTGCTACTTATTTGGTTTCTGTAAAGGTTCTTGTTGTATAATTTATAATATGGTATAGGTATTACTTAATAATGCATCTTATTGTTCACATCTATGTGCACATGTATTAATTTCATTAGTCCTTTGTCCTGCTTTAGTTTTGGGTGGCTTATGGCATAGCTGAGATAACAACTGAATTCCTATCCTATTCAAAGGTGTTTTTCTGTTTTATTTTTGATAGACTCAGCTTCGAATTGATTCATTCTTCAGACTAGAACAGCATGAAAAACTAGCTATTAAAAGTCAGAGACTGCGCAGAGCTGTGACTTGCCTGAAGAGAAAGGAAAAAGAAGCAGATGATGAAATTCAGGAGACCACTGCTGTTACAGAGGTGGAACTTGAACAGCATGAGAAAACAAAAGGGGAAGGTACCACAGGCTGCACAAACCTAACTGTGGCAACAAAAGCCCAGAGGGGAAAGAGAAGAAAACACTCAGATTCCAGAAAAGAATGTTTATATGGAGGTGGTTTTATTGGAAATTTGCATCTTTCAGAAACTTCTAGTGACTCCTCAGAGGAATCAGATAATAGAGATTTAGGCAAGAGCAAAAGGAGGAAAAACACCTCTACGATAGAGACTGCAGACCATAAAGAGAAAAAGGGGTGCAGTAGCTCAAGTGATGAGGATGAAGACCTGGGAAATGTAGTCATGGTGACTGCCAAACCTGTGTTTGAGGGCAGAAAAAACAAATCACGGGGCAAGAGAGGAATAAGAAAGAAAAAGTCTTAAAGAAGAAAAATTATAAAAAGGGCAGACTCTTGTGGCATTTATGATTTAAGCTTTGTAAATATTCTAATGAATTTTTGATAAAATATAATAAATTATTTCTATTTGTTATGTATTTGTCATGCATTTTCTGTCCAGACCTTAAATAGAAGGGATTCTAAGCAATGAAAAAACTAATTTTAGGACATTTACTCATAAAGACCTAGATTGAACTTGATATAAGTTTTCTGGATTCAGATTTTAAAATTGACCCAATATGTGATGTCCATTCATTTACATTCTGAGTTAATTGTTAAAATCACCTGCAATCTGTTGCTTCCTTAACTTAGAAATTAAATGAAATTTTGAAAACTACCTGGGTGATTTCTAGGTGTTGCAAGAAGGAAAATAAGTTCAATTAGTTTTGTTTTTCTTTTCCCTTCACTAAGCCTGTCTTAAAAGTAATGTTGTTTATTGAAGAGAGATGAAGCAAACTCTTATAAAATCTCAAGGAAAAACACACAGTATAATAAGTCCTTACATAATCTGATAAGCAGTAATTGTTTATGTTCTGAATGTAAATGTCATGTTTCTAGATCTGGATTTCCATGACCATATCGAAAGACAGTGTTTGTTTGAAAAAGTGGCGCAGCAACCCACTGGTTACAGCACTCACATCAGATTAATTTGTGAGAGATAATGTGTTGGGCTCAGACTTCTCACACATCTCACCTCTTTGAATGATTGTAGAATTTATTTCTACCTCCTGTGGATTAAGGAGGAAAAGTACAGTCTTTTATTCTCACATTACATTTTAGTCCTTCTTGCCTTTTTTTTGTCTTCTCATTTGATATTTCTACTGTGTTTCTCATTGTTTCATTGTTTGAAATCCAAGTCCATATATTTAAGTTTTGTATTAGATATTATCCTCCCCTAAAAGGATGAAGGGCTGACGTGAACTGGGTGCGATTTGACCCTCACAGTTGCAGAGAGTCTAATACTTCATGTACAGTTTATATTGGGCAAAAATGATCCTCTTTAAACCTCTTTTCTAAAAGATTATAACATTTTAAGCAAATTCTCAGCCTGTACAGCCAGTTTACAGCACTAGTTTGTAAATCACTCGTTAGTATTACTGAATTTTACTTTAAAAGTGTGTATCAGGTCTCAGTGAATTGTTTAATAGTTTATAGGTCTAGAAGAGCTCCTGTTAATTTCTTTTGCTGAGTATGGTAAAGTACACACACCCTCACCTCTCTGTAGGGCTTGTTTAGTATTTTTGTACAATAATTTATCATTTTTCTGTAACACCTAGAAACCACAGTTGAGGTTGAAGTCTAATTTTTCTAAAAAATGTGTAAAGTAAGAGACGGTTCATGTCCTGAATTGATTACACACTAAAACAGAGAAATCTTAGATAGCTGTAGTTGTTCTTATGGCAGTAAGTATTTGCAATCTGTTGAGTGAATAGACATTTGGAATATAGAGGAGTGTGATGCCTTAAAATCTATATTATATTAAATCGTAGTATAACTATATATATATATAGTATAACTCACTAGTACTTTTAGTTTGCTAAGCACCTTTGTATTAGATTCCTAAAATGCTGTTTAACTCTTCCTGTCAAGAATTTCAAAGAAAATAATCAAAGAAATAATTTTCTGACAATTTTTAGTATAGAAAGGCAAAAAGCTATTCTTTAATTGAGGCTTTGTAGGTGCACAAAAAATATTGTACTCACCATGGCATAGACCTTTACAATTTTATAATACCATCTAATTACAATATCTGGACATTACTTCGTTGGTTACACCCATCCCCAAAACCGTCCCTCCCATCATCCCAGCCTTGCCACACCTCCCAATTCTGAGTTAGTGGTCTCAAAATGACAACCCCTTCCTCTCCACTTTCATCTTCCTTGTCCTCTATGTCCTCCTTGGAACAGCTTCAAGGCTTCTAAGTAGTTTTATCTGGTTATATCAAGTGGTCTGACCCTGTTATGTCTCATTTTGAGTACATTTCTACAGATAAGGTGTTTTTCACCTTGCTAAAATCTTTGTTGAAATTAATCTAGTAGTGTGTGGATATTTATGCAAATTGAAAGCTGTCTCATGGAGTAAAGCAGAGTAGGATTTTGGGAGTTGTGTTGTCACAGTTTTGCATTCTAACGTGACCACCCCTGCTGCAAATGCACCCTTAGTAAATTTTAATCTGTGCTTTGGGAGGCCCTTTTGACTGAGGAATGATATTATGCTCTGTGGTTACTTTTTAGTAACACTGAGTGTTACATCCTGCCACTATTTATTTTGTAAAAAATACTCCCAAGTTGGTTACTTTGTTGGTTGGAGCTCCCTTGAGTGGGTGACTGGTGCTGTTACGAAATCCACTCCCTTATGTAAGGGACATGGTGTGCGGTGCCCTCTTTGTGCCCGTCCTGCAGCTGTCAGGATTTATTATTGCTCCCACTGTGGGGATGTTGGCAATGTGTGACACAGGCTTCGGGACACGCTCCTGCCTGTGGCTGCCCTGGAGAGAAGAGACCAGGCAGATAAGGACATTGCTGTTTGAGCACCATCTTCGGAAAGCTGCAAGAGATTCAGGTAACGTTGACTGAAATGCGGTGGATGCCAGTGGTATTTCACTTGTCTGTGTCTTAGACTCTAGATTATTTTGTATCCTTTGCTTTAAACAGCAAAACTGAGCTGTTCTGCACTGTTTAATTGCTTGTAGCACCCTTGAATGTGTATGTTAAACTCAGACAGATTGCTATGTTGTTCAGTGTACTTCAAAGGATATTTTTAGAATGACATAAAAAGTGTAGTGGATCACAAAATAAAAAGGCTTTCCCTTGTAGGATGATTTTACAGTGCAATGTTGCTTATCCTTTAGAATGCAAAAGGACTGATTATTAACCATTTCTTTTGTCTTCTAATGTGAAGAAAATTTGTCTTTTTTGTTCTTCTGAGGTAGATGACAAGCTGATGGATGTGTGTAGCATTTTCTGCTTAATGTCCCAGTAGTTTCTTATGCTACTTGTTATTCTGCAGATGCATACAAAGACTTCAAATCCCATTGAATCTCTTTTGTTCCTCATCTAATGATGTTGCTATAGCTAAGTTCGTGTGTAGACACAAAAATAATGTCAATGATTTTCTTCTAGGTGTTACGGTAACATATTTTTCACCTTCAAACAGGTTAATGGCTGCTGGTATTGTAGTAGTAAAGTTAAACATTAAACGTGTGTCTTTGGTAGGGTGAAGTCAAAAGGGCATGGTGCATCCTCTCTAAAAGGAAAGGGCTATTCCATACTGTCCTTTTTCACTTGAAGTTTTGAGACAAAAACCTGCCTAGGACTTTGCACTGTGAGGAAGATTCTTGGTATTCAGCATATTTTTTTACTTTGATTGTCCTTTTTTTTTTTCTTTTCACTGTATAGAGATATTCCTTCACCTATTGCCTTATTTAATTGCATTCCTATCGGGTCTTTAAACATGTGTAGGTTATTAACTGTATACTGCCTGTAACCATTCCAGCAAAAATCAGTTAAATCTGCACATAACAGTGGAAATTTAAAAATTAAATTAAAACTTCAAAAATTATTAAAGCACTGATTTTTTTTTTTCTTTCTATGAACTCAGTGTTCTTCCTAATTGTAAAATATCAAGAATTGGAGATGATTGCTTCTGTCTACTTTTCTACAGACAGCAAAAATTGTATTGTCCTCTGTCATACTTTTCCTATTATTTTTTCTCTGGAGTCTGTGTGTTCTGTGACTGTTTATATAGGCACATATGCTTTCTGTTTAGCATGTTATTTGTAGATCCTGCTTCTTACTTATTCTCATATGCAAATTTATTCAAACAAGATTAGATCCTTAAGGTGCAGTTTTTCATGTCTTTCAGACACTTGTTGCTACCTTTCCTTTCAATCCTTTATAAGCCTACGAACCCTGATTTTAATTTGTTCTAATTTTAAGATTTCATATAATAGTTTTAAACATTTATCAAAGCTATTTATCTCTCTCATTTTTAAAAAAATCTGCTCTTTTGCCTCTTCGAGAGTGTAAGAGTTGAACTAATTTGGTTCTGGTTCTTTTATGCCTTGAATATTGATACTTATGTGTCTACATGTTTTTATCATCTATATAAGTAAATTATAGCATAGTACATGTAAATTTTCTTTTTTAATTAAGTGTTTGTGGGGAAAAAGAAATAAGGTACTTATTTCTTACATTATTCAGGCAGGCTTGTGTTTCTCTGTCCCAGGGTTTGTGACTTAGTATGGATTTGACATCATCACAACATAATTATCTACAAAATGAACTGGTAAGAGAATTGGAAAGACAAGAAGGTAAAATGTTTCTTATTTCATTATTTTTCCTCGTTGCACTTAAGAATATTGTTAAGTATAAGGAACAAAGTGTCTGGCTGACAGTGAGCTATCTTCTCATTCATTTTTTCTGAAGAACTGTGTTTATGCCACTTGTGCAGAAAATACAACAGATAGCGCTGTTGTATTCTAGCTATGCAGTGGGTATCTTAAGTATGTTACACCTGCGTACTCTTGTCCTGGCAGTTTCCTACCAGTGCCTGGCATCTGTCCTCCAGCTACTTGCCTGTGACTGGTTCCAGGAAATGAAGCTGTGACTATGATCAAGCTATTCAGAGAGGTTTGTTTATGGGCTGTCAGTTAGGGAGAATTGGTTATTACAACCTTGGTTTCTGTCCAGACAGTCTCAGACCTAATCTTTCAAATCCCTCAGGGGCTACTGACAGCTTTTCTTCTTCAGCACTTTCATGGCTGCACATCTTTTAAGATCCTAAAGTATTGTAAGTAGTCCCCTTTTTAGCAGTCACCAGGAGTAGACAAGGTTTTAGGGCAAGTGCATGTGTTTTGCGGTGGGGTCTAGTTATGTTCTACATAACATGTGTGAAAGGAAGAGGGGTTTAAAATTATTTTATTTTTCATAATATTTTTGTTTAAAATCTTAGCTGAGTTGTGGTCCATGTACAGCCAAGCTTTTGGGTTTCTGTTTTCTCAAGAGAGATCAGCATGCAGTTTTGCTTTGCTACCTGTTCAGTGAGGCAACATGGAGCTTTGGGCATGACTGCAATACTTAAAATGAATTATTTTCTCATTAAAACTAATGTTTGTTGTTTCACTTTCAAATACTTTTTTTGGAGTACCCCAAACTGATGACCTTCTCTGGAAAGCTGATGTTGCACAAGAGGATGTCTGATAGCAATTGGTATAGGTTGCTGTTCAATTGTCTTAATTTGGAGATTTTCTTTAATGCAATTCTCTTTCCTTTTGTCTAATTCTGATTTGAACAAAGAGCTCAAGTTACTCCTATGCAATGAAGCATGATTATTAGGAGAAGAATTATCTAGAAGAATAAATGTTAAAGATAGATCTACTAAATACTGAAATATTGATGACTGTCATTGTGTGTTCCATAGTACACAAGGGCTGAAATGAAGTTCCACAGTCATTTCTATGCTTCTGAAAGCTTGAGTGTCCAATACAGATATTCTCTTCACGCAGGATTCAGGGCAGGGAGGAGTGAGGCTGCATATAATTTCTTTAGGTTTTGAATTATGAAAATAAATTGAATTCTAGGACATTAGGTCAATGTAAGCAAATTAGTCAGTAGAATATTTAGATCAAATGCAGAAATACATTCCACTTAGCTAACAGAGGAACTGTGTCGATAGCAATAACAGGTGGTTCTCTTCCATGTCTAGAAACACTAGTTTAAGAGAATGAGGAGACATGAATGGAAAATGGAATATCTTCAAAGTTTCGTCTGACACCATACTTTGGCATCTTAAATTCCATGCCAGGTTCTGGAAGTAAAGGGTGCTGAACCTGCTGCATGGAGATTTACCTGTTCAATCACTCTGAGCCTGTGCCTTCCCTGTTCTTATCCTTTTTCTTTACTGCCTTCACCATCCCTATTTCATTATTTCACTTACGCAGTCTCAATATCTGTTTCTCAGGGTTCTTATTCTAGTTCAGTTTCTCTGCAAGTTCCAGTCATGGGATCATAGAATCACAAAATGTTTTGGGTTGGAAGAGACCTTAAAGACCATGCAGTTCCAACCTCTCTACCATGGGCAGAGACACCTTCCACTAGACCAGATTGCTCAAAGCCCCATCCATCCTGACCTTGAACACTTCCATGGATGGGGCATCCACAGCTTCTCTGGGCAACCTGTTCCGGTGTTGCACCACTCTCACAGTCTGAGCTCTTTATGTTTGGTGCCTTCCCCTTTGCTTCTTAATTAACTCATCATAAGTTTTTCCGTTTAAAACTCCTTATTTTTGTTCACGATTCCCATTACTACTGGTTCTCAACTTACAGGTAGGTTCTCACCCAGTCTGATCCTTCCTCGTGTGTCTTTATCCAATCAGTTCTCCACACCTACATTATTAGATGTCTCCTTTCTTTCCTCACATAATTTCTCCCAATCATTAGCTTTAAGTTTCCTTGGCTAAATGTTTCTAAGATCAGATTCTACCACTCCCATCCTAATTTCTTGGGATACTAGATTACTTTACCTCAGTTGCATCGTGTAAATTTAACCCAGAATAACTTTACGTCTGAGACAGAAGGAGGAGGACAAGTTTGCAAGGCATACTTGTCCTTGACAGTCCATCGTTGCAGTTCACTTGGCCAGGCCTTAGTTTTTAATCCATAAATATCTGAGAAAATGCTGACCTAGTAACCTTCTAATAACTCCTGACACTTTAGAAGGGACACTTCTAAAGGGACACTTCTAAAGGCTTCTTCTACTCACCCTGCTTGACAGATGTCCTAATTGATGGCAATTCCTGCCATCATGTCAAGTACGTTTTTGTGAAGTCCAGAAAGGTGCTTTAAACAGGACATACTTGGAATGGAGCAAAATGAGAATCAGTCTAACCCTGTAATTTAGAAATTAAGATATTCAGCTGGGAAGAGGAGTGACCTATTTCCTAGGTCTACTTCTAAAGATACTACTTCTCTTTCTCATTCCCTTCCCTGCTGACACTTTCCCACTGACTTCACAGACTTAGCTGTAAACTGTGAAAAATATCCTGGGACCTGAGCATGGAGTCCAAGTTTACCTTTTCACAACTGAGTGCCCAATTTGTAGTTGGGCTTTTCCTTGCTTGTTGTCCTTCTAGCATGATTCTTGCAATCCTGGTTTTCTGATGGCCCACCTCTGGTGGTGATGGAGGGGAGGGGAAGCACCTGGTTCTGTAGGATGGCTGGAACACACCCCTTGTGTGAGTGAGTTCTGAATTTGAATTCTTCTGAGGAAGATCCAGCACTCAGTTCCTACATTTTGAGTTCCTCAGTCACTGAACCATTCTTTATATAGTGGACTTTGCAATTTATAGTGCTGGTTAAATAAAGAGCTTATTTATAATATATAGAAATAACACTTTTGCAATATCTTCCCACACCACCTGACTTCCCTTCTTTCGCCTTCCTTTTTTTTTCATTTTTATTCTTGTCTTTTTGCTTTGAATTATGCTTCTATCTTAAGATTAAAAACCAACCAAACAAACACCAAACCCACAAACAAACATATAACCTCTTACATTAACGCTCACCCTAAAAGCATTAATGCTCATCCTAAAAGCATTAATGCCTACACACACACACACCCCAACTCACGGAAGTCACACCATTAGTTACCTGCATTTTTTTCTTCATTGCAAGATTGAGAAATAGCAGAATTAAAATTCTACTCCTCTTAGGCAACAAGCTGTCTCTAAACCAAAAAAAGTCTAAAAGAGGTAGTTTAGAATAAGACCTCAGTGTAACTCAATTAAGGAGTGACTAGAAATAAATGGCACCTTCACAGTAAAACAGAATAGTCTAGAAATAACTCTTCTCTTTATTTATCTCTTGAATGTAATCTCTTGCAGTAAGTTACCTCTGAGCTCTTTTGTTTGAAAGTGGCAGCATTCAAGTATTCTAGTAAACATCAGTAAAAATTCATTAATTTAACACTTCTGTGTTCCTTTTCTCTCCCCACAAGAAGTAGACCCACTTTCATTGAAGACATTGCTAAGCTCAAGTGGAAACTTCTTGGGTATGGATAGAGCAGAAGTTGGAGGCAACACTCAACAAATAATCAAAGTATACATCAACTCTGTAGAGAACTCTGCAACTTATTCTACCCTCTCAGCCATGTGCCTGTCTTTCCTATTTTCACTTCTCTAATCTTTGCACTAGCTGCAGTTTGACAATAAATAATATTTTTCAACTGCCACATGTAAAAGGTAGTAGGGTTGCATGGATTGGTGTTTTTAGTTTATTTCAGGTCCTTTATTCAAAGATATATTTTAGAAACCTAGAATTATTGGTAGGTGAAAACTGATGGCATTTTCTTGAGTCTCTTTCTATCCATCAGGAAGTTGGTTGCCTTTTCTAATATACATTAAGCCATCTAATTTAAAGTTACAGTCTTTTGTTGTCAAAGTCAAATGATTTAGTTATTTTTAGCTGCAGAGCTTTGACCTGAAGGTGTTTTCAATGACAGACAAACATGATGAAGTAACAGAGGTAGTACTTCACATATTAGAATTCATTATGTGTCCCTGAGATGGACACTATGGTACTTCTATTTTCAGCCTTTTAATGGATTTTAAATGACCTGTGACTTGGATAGGACTAGGATATCAGTGGTGTAAATTCCAAATTTACAAGTGCCTCTCAAGCCTGGGCAAATACATAGACTGGATACTGTGAACGTACCCCTCTTCAGTTCTTGTGTCCTCATGCTCTGAGCTAAGTGCATTTTGTCTTTTGACTGAGAAGAGGCTGCCTGTCGTGGCAGTTGTGTATTTCTGCATTTCAAAGTATAAAATTTCAAGTATTATATTACCCTGACATAGTATCTCAGATTAATCAATATAATACACCTCTTCATTGCCATTGCTTCAGCAGGTTGAACTTGTAATGAATGTACTGCTAACACTTACATGATGATCTCCCTTTTTGTAGCTAGGGGTGAAATAAGGAAAAATTAACTGTCATTTAGACAAGTATTTCAATGGTACTTTGCTTTATATTCTTAGAAAGGTATAGGTTACATCTGACTTCTGTGAAGTCAAGAGCATGATTAGATTTCCCTCCTAACCCCTTCCTTTAAAGGTCCTCAGGCTGGAATAGAATGAAATAGAAATAAGTGGAATGACATAAAGATACTAAAGGGATAGCACCTGGAATTTAGGGACTATTTTGTGATTCAGGATTTTGTATGTTTCCATGGAGCCATCTGTAATGCTTGCAGGAGCAGGGCTCTGATCTGGAGATATCAGCAGCTCAGTAAAAATTCTGAGCTGCCAGAGTCCCTTAGTATTGAGACCTTTCTGGTTTTTTTTGGGGTAAACTTGGTCTGAGCCATTAGAAATACCCATATGGATTCACAGGAATACCTTCTGATGATTTGTATCAGTGGAGTAATGTAGCTCTTCTCCGGTCATCTCTTACAGTTACAGAACTGGTGGCAGATTTGTTCCCTCACCAATCTTTCTGCAGGTATCCTCTTGACTTTGTGATATATAGATAGCTATTTTATACATATATATGTATATATATATATATATATATATGCTATGTGTATTCTATATATCATGTCCATATGATATATATAAAATACATCTTAAATACTTAGTTTGTATGACTCCAGTCCCATGTGTCCAGAGCGGGGGGATCTAAAGAGTCCTGGATATTACAAATTACTTTTTTTGCATTATTCAATCAGTAATATCAGCACAGGTAGTCCTCTTGTGTTCATCAGACCCTGACATAATTGCTGAGAAGTCATGG